TAAGAGTTCCTTCCTTTTTAGAGCAGCATAGTGGCCTAGAGCTTCTTGAATGTCAGATTCAAGCAGGGTGTCTCATCTGTGGCACTATTGGTATTTTGAGCCAAATAATTCTTTCTTGTGGGGACTATACTGTGCATTGTAGGGTGTTTAGCAGCATTCCTGGCTCTATCTACTAGATGCCAATAGCGTCCTCCCAGTTGTGACATGCAAAAATGTTACATTGCCAAATGTCCCCGGGGTTTGGGAGAGGGGAAGGGTTGGAGATTGCCCTTAGTTGAAAAGCCACTGAATTAATCTCATGAAACTGGTTCTTTTGGCGTTGTCTAAACTTGGTCTGTTCTACTGTTGTTTCATCCATCCATTTGATAGAAGCTTTTTTTAGTAATCATGTGGCTTCCTGAATCAGATAAGTTCTTCTTGTTAGCACTAGGTACGCTTCCAGAAACAAAATTTGGTGATTACTAAATGTAGCTTAGCTACTAGTAATTGACCTCAGGTTCACTGATACTTAAGATTCTTGAGGGCAGGACTATCTTTGTTAGCTTTGCATTCCCCAAAGTGTTTAGCACATTGTAGGTGCTTTATAAACAAAATGTACAAATGAATCAATCTGCTGAGTTTTTTCCGGCTATTCATTTATTTATTTGTTTATTGGGACAGAGTACCCAGTTCCTCAGTTTGCCCAGGGTTCTCATGCATCCTCATTTTAACTTTTATCTTCAAGGCAGGACAAGCAGAAGATTTCTTGGAACCACTTTTGGAAGCAAAAAAAGCAGGTCTAAAGTTGGCATTACATCTTTCAGAGGTAAATAATATTTTAAAATTAGGCTGGAGAGGGTAGATTACAGTAGAAAATAGTAATCATCTTTAAATGGCTAAAAAGATACCTGGCTTGGAAAAACATTTTTAGAAGGGGAAAAGTAGAAATATGTTTTAACATAAATTATAATGATAAAGGCATGACTTGCTTTAGTCCCTCATGTTACTGGTTTTGTTTTTGTGGTTCCTGGGAGGGTGGCTGATGACTTCCAGTACAGCTGTGTCTTTAAAAATAGCTTACTGACATCTTGCTAAAGAAAATTCATGGATTTCCATCATTGACCTTATCATTGGTAAGCTGGCATTGAGAGAAGCACCAGTTCATCTCACTTTGTCCTCAGAGGGAAAGGGACCTGAGTGTATTACATGTACTGGCAAGAAAGGGAGTAGCTCATCATCATTTTATAAGGCTCAGCAGGGAGATCAGGTGCCCCTTGATTCCCCAGCTCCTTGGCAACATGAACAAGTGACAGATAATGGCTGGAGAACCGTCACTTTCTTAAGCACATCTTTGTGAGGCAAACAAGGGACTCTACTGCACTTTCCCCCATTTTATAAATGGTATATTTCTTCCTATTCTTTTTTTTTCTTTACATACAAAAAGCTACACATAATATATATAAGTACGTGAGTTTGGATTTGTTTCTTAACCAGTTAACTGCCACGCATCCCCACACGCCACAATATTTTGAATTTAATAAAATAAATTTGCAATGAATATTAGAAAAATAAATATATCACTCACCACTTGGGTGTTCTTGAATATTTTCAGCTGAAAATTCTCACAAAAAATGATTTTAAAGTTGGTCAGGGCTGTCACTTAGGGAAAACTTTTTTTTTTTATAGACGCACATGGCGTGGGGGGGAAGGTCTGCCACTTGCAGGCGCTTATGGCGTTCAATGGGTTAAATGCAGGAAAAAATACTTATTCTACTTATTTCGTGGGGTTATCTTGTGTATTAGATGGAGTGATATATAAAGTTTGAATAGCATCAGGATGTAAAGATTTAAGGAAAAAATTGGAGCTTCTTGTCGTTATTGGTGGTTTTCATGTCTCTAAGCAAGGGGTCAGTTATCTAGTGGCAGAACTTAAGAAAATATAGGTTCCATGTGTCCACACTCTGATCATAAAGACCTTTCACTTTTAGGAAACCATCTAGCTGACTGAAGCAATAATGAAACAGCCAGCATGTGTCACTGTAACTAGTTATCTCTGTTCTTGGTGCACAGCATCAAAGCGCTTTAGCTTAATTTTTTTTTCTTTTTTTAATATATTTTATTGATTTTTCACAGAGAGGAAGGGAGAGGGATAGAGAGCCAGAAACATCGATGAGAGAGAAACATTGATCAGCTGCCTTCTGCACACCTCCCACTGGGGATGTGCCCACGCCCAAGGCACATGCCCTTGGCCGGAATCGAACCCAGGACCCTTCAGTCCGCATGCCGATGCTCCATTCACTGAGCCAAACCGGCCGGGGCTAGCTTAGTTTTTGTTGCATTTCTTATTTGATCCATTGGATATAAGATATTTCATTTCCAAATGTTATTGTGATTTGAATTTTAGGCTATTAAGGGGTAAAGACCACAGCTAGACATTTTCATGGTGGTTGTGGTATGTAGGTAGCTAGCCTTGTCAAAATAAAACGTGAGCACACTGTGTGGAGAATCTGGGCCCTGGAGTCAGATGGAGCCAGATTTCACCCTTCTCTCTGTCATTCACTAGCTCCATGAACCTTGGACAACTTTTGCTTAAAATGCATTATGTTTTTAATGACAAAAGTTACATGTATCTGCAGAAAATCCCAAGTGTAGAGAACTATTATATAGAAGGAAAAAATAAAAAATGAAAGGTCCCCTTCCCATTTCAGTTATGCTCCCAGTTGATCATCTTAACAGTTTTGTATTTATATTTTTCCAGAGCATTTTCTAATATATATGAACACACATATACACCACAGGACACATATATGTATGGAGTTGTGTATTTTGTTTTTGAAAATTACTTTAATTTGATGAGCTTTAATTTCTTCATCATAATACTTTGCAAGATTCTTGTGAGGTTTAAAGGAAATGTATGTAAAAAGGCACAAAGTAGGTCCTTAATATGTGTTTATTATCATTGGAATGAATCTAGAATATTGGGAAATGAATGGGAAGATAAAAGGCAAAGAAGAGAGCTAGGAAGGTAGAAGTAATTCAGCTTTCCAGAATGTCTGTACTACCTTCTCAGGGACAGAGTACCTGACTTTAGAAAAAAGCACCTTTAAAACAACTGAAAGAGGTTATTGATGCCCTCTCTCCTCTCTTTTTGAGATTCCAAACCTCAAGAAAGAAACACAAGTACTCCTGGATCTGCTTCCCGACAGAATTGGGCATGGGACATTTCTCAACTCCTCTGAGGGAGGATCCTTGGAGCTGGTGGACTTTGTGAGGAAACACCAGATACCGCTGGGTAAGGCTTAGGGCTTCAGGTCCTTCAGACAACCTGTGCCCCTTCCACCCCCAACCCCCATATTGCAACCCAGATGTAGAGAAGTTTTGTCCTAAATATATAAATATTATTTAGGAAGTAAAAGATATGGATAAGTGCTTTCTGAGCCTCATTTAAGTAACACAAAGTTTTTAGCTTCCATTAAAACAGTGGTTCTCAACCTTTCTAATGCCGCGACCCTTTAATACAGTTCCTCATGTTGTGGTGACCCCCAACCATAAAATTATTTTTGTTGCTACTTCATAATGGTAATTTTGCTACTGTTATGAATCGTAATGTAAATATCTGATATGCAGGATGTATTTTCATTGTTACAAATTGAACATAATTAAAGCATAGTGATTAATCACAAAAACAATATGTAATTATATATGTGTTTTCAGATGGTCTTAGGCGACCCCTGTGAAAGGGTCGTTCGACCCCCAAAGGGGTCGCAACTCACAGGTTGAGAACCGCTGCATTAGAATATAAGCTCCATGAGAGCAGAGCCCTTCTCTGTCTTGTTCACTTTACATTCCCTAGTTCCTAGAACTCAGTATTATACTGAAGGAATAAGGGGCATCTAGTATTTTGAAATGACTTTAACCAAATTAAGATATGTTATGAAAATGTGTCACTTTTTTTAAATTAAGAATTATGGAAAATTCGAAGTATGTTATTATATGTATGTTGACTGTTACACACTTGTTAGTCTACATGTGTATACCTGGAGCTGTTTTTGTTTAACAGCATATATTTATGAAATGCCTACTCTGTTACGGTCACTTTTCAGTTGCTTGGAATAGAGCAGTAAATAAAACAGACAAACAAGCTTGCTTTCTCAAGGAATTTATAGTCTAGCAAATGTAAGACAGTAAACAAATGCACAAGAAAATATTAGTGTTAAGTTCTTCAAAGAAAATTAAACAGGCTGATATAATGATGAGATAACCACTCTGAAGAGGCAAGGAAGCAATGGACTGAAATCCAGTTTTACCGAATGATAAATTCGCTGAATTTACAAATTTACCAATTTGTAAAAACATTTGTTTGGGTATGCTTCTCTTAAAACTAGTTAGACTTTTCAGCAATTCATAATGGGTGAAGCTTTTTTATTTTTACTGAGGAAAATTTTAAACATCAACAAAAGTAGAGAAAATGGAAACTCTAGTGATAGCGATCGTACTTGTTGTGGTGGCTCTCAGTGCAGTGAGGGGGCAGGTTGGCTTCGCCATTTCTTGGACTGAGTGGCGCTGTGTTGAGGCTGCCTTACCCAAGGGAGCAGACACCATCCATCAAGTCAGTGAAGTATTCTACTCTGCCTAGGGAGCCTGGTACGGTTTCAAGGCAGGAATTTGTTAATAGAAGTCACTTTAAAGATGGACTGACTTGCAGCAGGCAGTGATTGGATGCTTGTCTGACTAAAAGAAGTAAGGGGTTTTCTTTGAAACCTTGGAAAAGTTCCATTTCCGCTCTTGGCTTTTTATAATGCTGTAACTCTCAAGCAGTTCTGCCATTATCGGACCTTTATTTTAGCCTCCACATATAGACCAGGGAGAGTGTAGCAACCCTTCAGATAATTCCCTGGCTTCTTTATCGGGACTGGCTTACACATTCCTCTCTTCTCTCTTGTTAAAAGAAAGGGGAATATTAATCCCCTACCTGCCACAGTTGCTGCCGTAAGTTGCACATATTTCCCACACAACCACACTAATTGAACTACAAATTTTTACACAAGAAAAGGTCAACTTTTAAAAATATATTTTTATTGATTTTTTTAAAGAGAGAGGGAGAGAGAGAATCGTCAATATTAGAGCAAAACTTGGATCAGCTGCCTCTTGCATGCCCATACCAGTGTCAAGTCCGCAGCCTGGTCATGTACCCTGACTGGGGATCAAACCAGCAACCTTTCAGTGCCCGGGATGATGCCCAACCAACACTACACCAGCGAGGGCAAGAAAAGGTCGATTTTGTAAAAGAATGAACTACTGCAAATTAGCATAGTTTAGAAAGATTTCTCATGTATCTACTTGATGATTGAATCTACTAATCTGCTTTTAATAAAAGGTTTTTTTCCCCCTTTCCTGTAGAACTCTGTTTGACCTCAAACATCAAAAGTCAGACAGTTCCATCTTATGACCAGCATCATTTCGGATTCTGGTACAGCATTGCCCATCCTTCTGTGATCTGTGTAAGGTGTTTTCTGTGAAGTATTTTGCTCCTTTTTAGTCCCTGAGTTGCTTTAGGTCAGACATTCATTACTTAGTTGAGTGCCTTGCATGCCTGAGGGTAATAGAGCCCACATAGAGGAGTGAGAGAGGACTGGAGCATGAGAAGCTACAAAGGGCCAGGGTGACTGGTTTGGCTCTAAGGGAAAAGATCCTGGACAGTAACTAGGGGAACATTAAAAAAAAAAATAGTGCCTTAGCTGGTTTGGCTCATTGGATAGAGTGTCGGCCTGCGAACTGAAGGTCTGGGGTTGATTCCTGTCAAGGGCATGTACCTCTGTTGTGGGTTCAATCCCTGGCCCTGGTCAGGAAGCAACCAATCAATGTGTCTCTCTCACATTGATGTTCCTCTCTGTGTGTCTCTCCCCCTCCCTTCCACTCTCTCTAAAAATCAATGGAAAAATACCCTCCGATGAGGATTAACAACAACAAAAATAGTGATGCCTGGCACCCATCCCTTGAGATTCTGCTTTATATAATCAGGGAAGTGCCCAGAGAACAGATAGTTTTTAAAGTTCCTTAGGTGATTTTAATACGCACCAATGGTTAGAGCACTGCTCTGGTGTTTGTTGCCTGTTTAATCCTCACCCAAGGATATATTTATATTGATTTTATTTCTTTATTGATTTCAGCAAGGAAGGGAGAGGGAGAAAGAGAAAAACATCAATGATAAGAGAATCATTGATTGGCTGCCTCCTGCATACTCCACACTGGGGATCCAGCCTACAACCTGGGTATGTGCCAGGAATCAAACCCGTGATCTCTTGGTTCATAGGTTGATGCTCAACTACTGAGCCATGCTGGCCAGGCTGTTTTTATTGATTTGAGGGAGAGAGGAAGGGAGAGAGGCAGGGGAACATGGATGTGAGAAACATCAATCCATTGCCTCCCCGCACACACCCCGACGGGATCAAACCTGCAACCTAGATGTGTGCCTTGACCAGGAATCAAACCCACAATCTTTTGGTGTATGGAATGATGCTCCAACCAACGGAGCCATTTGGCAGGGCTGTGTGTTTTTTAATGGTAAACAAGCCCCTTTAGTTATAGCTAGGCATAGATGTATTTATAGGCCCCTGTTTAGACTCTTAAAAGAAGCATGGTGAATAGGAAAATAGACTAAAGAAGAGTTGTTTTTAAAAATCATTTCCTTGTTCATTTTGAAACTTTCTTGCTTATCTTGGCAGACTGACGATAAGGGTGTTTTTGCAACACACCTTTCCCAAGAGTACCAGCTGGCAGCCGAAAATTTTAATTTGACCCCGTCTCAGGTATGGGATTTGTCTTATGAATCCATCAACTACATCTTTGCTTCTGACAGCACCAGGTCTGAACTGAAAAGGAAGTGGAATCAGCTGAAACCCACAGTGTTACATTTTTAAGCTGTAATGAAGTGAATTACTTTTGAGTATGAGTTGCAACCAAGATCTTCCTGCCATATTTCTTTTAGTAAACCATCCACCTCTCACGATTAATTCCTTTGGAATCAAGTTATTGGTTTTTTAAAAATATTTCTGCCTTTCTCTTATTTTGATCATAATGGAGCTATGCCAGCCAGATACTTCTTGAGCTGTAGGGTACTTTAAGCTTCTATTTCCAGCCTTCATTATTTTTTGTCACACACACCCCCTCCTCACTCCACCCTCACTCCCTATTTTCAGCCTTTAATATGATTTCCAGTTGTTCCAAAGTTTTGTTTCTGAAATAGCCCATGACGGGTGTTGGAAGATTTAAACTAACTAAAATATCTCCATATAATATCTGTTATTTTAAGCACCATGATGTTTCTATCTCTCCTTCTCCCTTCCTTTCTGAAATCAATAAAAATCTATGTATTTTTTAAAAGGCGGGCAAAGATTTATCTCTTCCTACCAACACCTTACT